ATATTAGCGAAATTTGGTGTAAATTTCCTATAGAAACCACATAATCCTAGAACTGATTAAATTTCTTTTGGGTTTTTGGAATTGGGAATTTGACAATTGTTTGTATTTTGTAGGGATTCAGTTGTGATGATGTGACCGAGAAATTCAGTTTCTTTTCTCAAAAACTCGCATTTATCCAACTGTAGTTTTAAGTTAGCTTCTCTAAGCTTCTCAAATACTTTTTGTAGCGACAAAATGTGTTCCTCCAATGAAGTAGAAAAAATAATAATGTCGTCTAAGTACACCAGGCAATCCTTAAACATTAAGTTTTCAAAGAGATTGTTCATACAACGTTGGAACGTTGCAGGTGCATTCTTAAAACCAAATGGCATGGGAGTGTACTTGTAATAGCCATGTTTAGCCGAAAAAGTGGTCTTGGGTATTGAACCAGGATCCATTTGGATTTGGTGGAAGCCTTTGGCTAGATCAATGGTTGTGAAATATTGACATTTTCCAAGTTTGTGTAATATTTCAATTATGATCGGAATAGGGTATTTATCATTAATAGTTAATTCATTGACATTGCGGTAGTCTATGACTAACCGGAACTTTTGCTTTCCAGATGCATCCTTTTTCTTTAGAACAATTATTACTGGTGAGCATTAAGGGGATTTGGATTTACGTATGATATTTTGTTTTATCATATCGCTTATTGCCTTATTTACTTCCTCATCGTATATTTTAGGATATTTGTATTGACGCTTGTAAATTGGGTCCTTATATTTTGTTAGAATTTTGTGTTTAATTGTACTAGTGAAAGTCAAATTGTCACCTTCATGGTACTGGATATCACGAAATTCATGTAAAATTTTTTTAATATTTTCTTTTTTTTTCTGAGTTTAGGTGCTCTAGCCTAAACTCATTGTTTTCTATTAATTCGTTATTAATAGCGAAGTTAAATAGTCTGTCCTCTGTTGAGGGTGGATCAAGGCACTCTTGTGTGGTCATATCCTCTTCGACCTCTTCGTCATTATATAAAAAAAAAAAAGTTAAATTCTCCTAAGGTTACGGATCCTTGTGCATAGTCTATTTTTGCTTGCCATGCTTCAAGGTATTCTTTCCCAATCAGAACATCATAATGCTCTGAGAAGTCGTGAATATAGAATTTTTGTTTGCTCGGGCAAATTTTGCTTACTCTTAATCGTATGCTTTGTTTTAATTCAATAACACCATTTATGGTGTGAACCTTTAATGTTTCATTGTAAACTGGAAAATTTAGCCCGTTTGTTTTCATTAGATTTATGGTTGAACCTGTGTCAATGACACATTTTAGAACTTCGTCATTCATAATCAATTTTATGAATGGATTTCTTCTGTTTGTTCCGAGGCTTGCTGATGAAAATGTTCTGATGTATCCACTTTCACCTTTCCACTGTTGCTATCTCTTTGACGTTTAGTCGGAGGGTTTGACGCATTCAAGCGTGAATGGGAGTGATTTTGATAGTTTAAAGGATTTTGGTATCTACCATGACTTATTTTCTGTTGGAACTCGTGGTGAGCTTTTTGATTGTCTTCGGACTTATTGTGCTGTTTATTTTGTGCGTGATTACTCAATAACCACATTAACATTATAATTTTTAGATTTTGCAGTAACGCTATTTGCATATAATTCCTTTCTTTGAGCTACTTGCTTTATGTTTTGTGTCGACGAAATGTCGTATCTGGCTAACATCATGAAAAGCCTATCTGGTAATTTTTATGTAATAACATCTTTGATTGTGTTATTCATAGCATTTGTATAAAGTTCTAATGCTAACTTATTTAATATAGCAAAAGATTTATTTTCGAGATCCTCGATGAACTTACGGACGTTTCCTTGGTAATTCGTGTTGTATAAGCGTCGAAGGAGTTCTTCCAATGGTGTCTGCACTTAATATTCTTCAATCAATGCGTTTCTCAGCTCCTGCCAAGTGTTGGCTGCTGTCCTTTGTAAAATTCTCTGAGCATCTCCTGTGACTTGCAATTCGATGGCTCCGTATAAGATGCTGTGTTGTCTAACATCTCGGGTTGGATAAAGGTGTAGGATGTAATCGAACCTTTTAATGAAGGCGTTTAGATTTTCCGTTGATCCGTCAAAGCTTGCCACCTGTCTTAGTTGTGAAAGGGCCTGGTTGAGGTGTTGTTCTGATAATTCCATGGTCATCTTGGCGAGTACACCTTCTTTTTTTTTCGTTAGATGATTTTATTTGTTTTAAATAGTTTTGAGTTTGTAGGTTTGAACTTTATTGTTCTTTGATTTTGCACTTTTATTTCTTTGCACTTTCTTTTAGATTATAGTTTGTGATGGCTTATTGTTTAAATGGTTTTTTTTTGTGTGTGTGTCTTAAAAAGACCCAGTAATAACGTATTGCAGGGTCAATTTTATTAGGCTACCCGAAGGCTCTTGTGCAGATACGTATTCGAGAAAATGTTTATTACACTCCGACAACACTTTCGGTCGTGCGTTAGATCTGGGAATTATTTATCCTTTAGCGATCTCTACATTTTCCCGACGTATCCTACCGGCTGCGCCAATTATATTTTACAAAAAGTTTAAGTAGTAAAAAAAAAAAATTTCATTTTATTTTTTTCACTAATAGCTACTTTTGTTGAGCATATTCAGATTTGCTTCCCGAATATGAGCTGATTTATCTAATTGTTGCGGTCGCTTAGCAAACTTCGCTTTGAGAGAGCTTGAGTCAAAATTCAGTGAATTTTGAGCTGCGTCAGCAATTATGCGTGGGATATTGCTCTGATGGGAACATTGACAACGGCGTGATATTTAGGGTGAATTGTTTATGTCTACCAAAGGGGAACAGTTTGATCTTGACCAATGTTGATGATAACATCATGGTGATAAACCAGACTCTTTGTTTACAATATTATAAATGTTTATACTTGATTATTGCTTAAGTAGTAAGTTATGTTAAGGGGTCGGTGCGACTATGTATATGTCACTCCCTAACCATTAGAAAAGTGCCTGTCCTTAGGTGTGTAAGTTTGGGTATAGTGTAACATTTTCTTCTTTCACAATTTCGTGTGTCTCCTATTATTTTAGGTGTTTCTTCTACTTTGGGTTTTTTATATTTTATAATTAATGTCTTAGGTATGCTTTTGAACTTATATGTTATCTACAGTGTTAAACTTATTAATATGATTACAAATATGGTTATTGTAATTGTCTGGAATACATTGTTAAATTTTGTGTGTTCATTTATAATTCGTTTGTACAAACGAAAGTAGTTCTAATTTTATAACATCATTGCTTACGTAAATGCTTTGATTGAAATTGAAATTTCATTAATTTGCAGTGAACAATTAAAGATTGTTATTATATTGTTTCCTTCTATTGTTATATAGTTATTTATACAATTATGGTTTATTATAGTTTTTGGTAAATTCCAAGTTAAAATTATATTTGGTTCTACCAGTTGATTTGAAAATTTTGCAAAGTTTTAGTAAAACTACATTCTGATGTTATTTGATTTAAAATTGCCGTCAAAAATTCATTATTAATTAATTTTTGTGTTTCTTTGCTATAAACATTTTTGTCTTGGGTAAAATATTTTTAATGATCTATTTCTGTCAAAATGATATTATTATCATCCGGGTATGCAATTATTTCGAATATTTATTTTATATATTATTACTTTATTTTCTATTATTGAAATATGCATAAGTTTTTCGGCAACAACTAATATTTAAATCCTTGTCACACTTAAGTCTTTTGTTTTTCTTTGTGCTTATTCTTAATCTTAAGTATACCATTGTCTGTCGCTTATGAACTACGGAACAATGTAGACGTACAGATGCGTAATAAAAAGAAAAACCTATTAATCCGGTTCAGATTCCTGTTTAGTTCCACTTTAAAAACATTATATAACCAACAGGTTATGGGCCCAGGGCTCTAAACACGAAATTGTGCGATTAACTTTCATTACTGTGTGTGATTATACGAAAAAATTTATAAACATGAGTGGACAAGGGTTATATTCCATCGAAAAGTTGGATGACGAAAATTACGCGGTGTGGTCAGTGCAAATGAAAAGCATATTGGTACAAAATGATCTATGACCGATAGTATGCGGAAGAATCGTTAAAAATGAAGGTGACAGCGAAGAACAGAAGGCTCAGTTTGATACATGGGACGAAAAGGCACTAGCAAACATATTGCTGGCTGTTAAACACTGTTTGGACACTTAAATCTGGCCAGTTTAAGGAAAATGGCAAGTGGTGAGATGGTGCATGGCTTAAAATCAATCAATAAAAATTTTGAAATAAAAAATGACTTGTGTGAAACCTGTCCAAAAAATAAAATAAGTGTAGAACCATTTCCAAAAGCTTCTGAAAATCGTGCGCCTCAATTATAGAGTTTGATTCACACTGACATTTGTGGACCAATAAGCAGACCGTCTGCCGGGGGCGCACGATACTTTGCAACATTTATTAACGATTACTCACGTCACACAGTTGTGTATTTTTTGAAGTCTCGCGACCAAATATTAAGCGTGTTTAAGGACTTTGAATTTGAAAAATTCTTGTCGGAACACGGAATTAAAAGACAACTGACAGTACCCTATACTCCGCAGCAAAATGGAGCTGCTGAGCAAGCAAATCGCACACTGGTAGAGATGACCAGCAGTATGCTAGTACACTCGGGCGTAGATGAAACACTATGGGGTGAGGCAGTAGGGACTGCAGTATACTTACGCAACAGGTCAGAAACCTAGACATTAACTAACAAAACACCATTTGAGGTTTGGACTGGCAAGAAACCGTCTGTATCGCATTTGAAGGTTTTCGGTTCAAAGCAATTGTCTTAAAGAAAAGGCACAGAAATAAGTATAATCCAAAGGGAATCGAATATATAATGGTTGGCTATTCGATTGCAGTTTATGTTGATGATATTTTACTTGCCAGCTCAAAAAAAGACGAATTGTTGAAAATCAAAGCGTCTATTGCCAAGGAATTCGACATGTTGATGGCGGCCAGCTCAACCATTTCTTGGGCATAGAAATTGAGCGCGAAGGGGAGACTGGAAGAATAACAATCGGCCACAAGCAGTATGTGGAACAAATGCTACATACTTGGGGCATGTCAACGTGTAGGCCTGAAGCTACACCACTGGATGCAGGTCACCAAGTCAAATGTGATGACGTTAACTGCGAGATGGTTAATGAAAAGAGCTACCAATCATTGATAGGTTCTTTGATGTATTTAGCCATAACAACCAGGCCGGACATACTACATTCGGTAGCGAAACTGGCACAACGAAATGCCAGCCCTCACAAGGAGCAAGAAGTTGCAGCGAAGCGTGTGCTAAGGTATTTAAAAGGCACGGCTAATATGAGACTTCATTATCAGGATACTGGCAAGCAGATCTATGGATACGTCGACGCAGACTGGGCGAACGATGCTGCAGATCGCAAATCATATTGTGGATATGTCTTTATTGGTGCAGGCAGCGCGATTTCGTGGGAATCGAAGAAACAAAGTCTGGTGGCGTTAAGCAGCACTGAAGCCGAATATATTGCCTTATCAACCGCAGCAAGGGAAGCAACATATATTAAAAAATTGTTGCATGAAATGGAATTTATAGAAACCAAGCCTATTTTATTGTATTGCGATAATCAAAGCGCACAGTGCTTAGCTAAAAATCCAATTTTACATAAACGTAGTAAGCACATCGACATAGAGTTTCACCATGTACACGAGCTATATTCTAAGAACGAAATAGATGTTAAATATATAGGTACTAATGATATGATTGCCGATGTACTAACTAAAAATTTGCAAAAGAACAAGCATGTAAAATGTATTAATGTAATGAATTGTTATTAATAAGTTTTCAAGTATGTAATTGTTGAGAAGAAGTATTGAAATATGCATAAGTTTTTCGGCAACTAATATTTGAATCCTGGTCACACTTAAGTCTTTTGTTTTGCTTTGTGTTTATACTTAATCTTAAGTATACCGTTGTCTGTCGCTTATGAACTACCGAACAATGTAGACGTAGAGATGCGTAATAAAAAGAAAAACCTATTAAAAAATATTAATTATTTAAAAACATAATATAACTAACATATATTTTATATATTAATTTATTATTGAAATTATATCTCGAGGAATATGGGATATTATCATTTCGTTTGTTTCTGATTTAAACCAAGTGGAAGTTTTTGTATTCAACAATTTCTCAGAATTAACATGCAACAAATAGTCATGTTTTAGTAATTTTGGGTTAAAAATGACTAATCTTGTGAGCTGCATTCCCATCTCAATGTCTTTTATATATTCTGTAAAGTGTTGTAAGTTAAAAATAAGGATATCTAATTTCTTTCTTTTTGTTTCTGTTGATCTAGTTCGTTCATGATTTCTATTCCTTTGTTTATAGCTTCTATTATGTGATTTAATTCGTTAACCTGACTCTGTTTTCTGCTAAGTTGCTTATTTTTTGTTCAATTTCTGTTTTGTCTTCTTGATCTAATGTTCCAAATAAGTATTTATATACTTTTTCTACTATGTTAACTAAACCTCCTTTGCTGCGTTTGGCTATTTTTAAGCCGTTTATTTTTCTGTTTAATTTTTCTACTAGGTATTCGATTTGTATTAGCTTATTAAATTCTTTACTTTGTTCAATTAAGTTGTTAAAAGTTTCTTCGGTTTTTGTTATATTAACCGTTAAACAGTGGAATTCGTAGTCTGTCGGAATGTCTATGGTTCCTGTTTAAAATATGAGATAACCGTTATTGGCTTTGATAGGATTAATTTCAATGCTTTGTGCATTTATTATTATTAATGTGTTATTTTCCTGCCTCTGTTTGTTTCCTCAAAATGTTTGTCGTCGATTTGTATTAGTTTTCCAGTTGACTTGAACGGGCTTGACGTCTTTGATTAACTAATGGTGAATGTTTGTATTTAGTGTCAATTTCATAATTTGTTCGTTTTTTGTTGAGGTTATTTATTAGTTTTTCTTTATTAGATTGAGTGTCATACTCTGGTGTACCTGCGTATATGAATATGTCCGCTGGTGTTCTGTTAGTCGTTTTGTGCTTTGTTTTATGATTGTACGTGTAGAGTATAGTTTCAAATTTTGAATGTTATTTTCGATGTCAGAGTCGATATACTGATATATTTACTGCTTCTGATTTTAGCCATAATTGTAAAGCTGTGCACATAAAAGCTGAGTCTGTGTCTGCTTTTATTTCGATGGGTTTACCCATTTGGTTGAACACTTGTAATATAGCTCGATTGGTTTCTAGCCAGTCTCTACTTTTTATTTCTATTAATAATGCAAATTTTGAATAGATATCAATGCAAGAAAAAAATTGTATATCTCCTACTATGTACAAGTCCATTACATATTTTTCTCGGATATTAGCGATTTCCGGAGTTATTTCGAAAGTTAATTTTGTATCCCTGTGTTCTGTTTTTGCGATGTTGCAAATCTCACATTCATTTATTAGATTTTGAATTAAATTTTGATAATCTGGGAAATAGTGGGTTTCTTTGAACCAATTGATAGTTTTTTCAATTCCTGGATGTAATAATTCTTTGTGCTTTTTTAATATTAATTCTTTGAATTCTGCGTATGTTTGAAGGTCTATTAATTTGGTACTAGTTTTCATTACCTTTGTTGAATTATTCGGACTTATTATTTCTAAGTAGGCTTCTTGAAAAATTGGAAAATCTGCTTCGTTGTGGAAGTATAGCACACTTTTCTTTGTGCATAAGTTTTCTTTTATTAATTCTTTGGCATGCGCGTTAGTCATGTCTTTGTATGTTTTTCAAATTCTATTTGTCGATTATAATAGTTAGGACGTCTTTCTGTGATTTGTAAATGGTTACTGTTGTCTTCTTGAGCACTATGTATGGTTGCTCTTGTGCTAATTGTATCTTCGCCTAAGAAGTTTTCGGTTAATTGAATTCTGGACAGAGCATCTGCCACATAATTTTCTTTTCCTGGGACGTATTTAATTTGGAAATCAAACTCAGTTAGATTGATTTTCCATCGTTCTCATGTTAGGTTCTTTCATGTTATTTGGCCAGACGAGTGGTCTGTATCACTAAGGATTTGAAACTGTCGACCAAAGAGATAGGACCTAAAGTATTTTGTGGCCCAAACGATTGTTTATGATTTTTTTTAAATCGCTGAATAATTTATCTCATCGCTCGTTGAGCATTCTACTTGCATAGGATATAGGCTTATGCTCTTGCGAAAGGTCGGCCCCTATTGCCATATTCCTCGCGTCTGTAGTTAATGAAAATGGTTTTTCGAAGTTAGGGTATATTAAAATTGAGTCGGATGTTATGAGTACTTTTAGCTTTTCTAATTCGTAGTTTGAGTTATTTATATTCATTTTTGCTCCCTTTTTTAATTTAAGTGTTAATGGTTTTACTTTATTAGCGAAATTTGATATAAATTTCCTATAGAATACACATAATCCTAGAACTGATTAAATTTCTTTTGGGTTTTTGGAATTGGGAATTTGACAATTGCTTGTATTTTGTAGGGATTCAGTTGTGATGATGTGACCGAGAAATTCAGTTTCTTTTCTCAAAAACTCGCATTTATCCAACTGTAGTTTTAAGTTAGCTTCTCTAAGCTTCTCAAATACTTTTTGTAGCGACAAAATGTGTTCCTCCAATGAAGTAGAAAAAATAATAATGTCGTCTAAGTACACCAGGCAATCCTTAAACATTCAATCTTCAAAGAGATTGTTCATACAACGTTGGAACGTTGCAGGTGCATTCTTAAAACCAAATGGCATGGGAGTGTACTTGTAATGGCCATGTTTAGCCGAAAATGTGGTCTTGGGTATTGAACCAGGATCCATTTGGATTTGGTGGAAGCCTTTGGCTAGATCAATGGTTGTGAAATATTGATATTTTCAAAGTTTGTGTAATATTTCATCCATGATCGGGATAGGGTATTTATCATTAATAGTTAATTCATTGAGATTGCGGTAATCTATGACTAACCGGAACTTTTGCTTTCCAGATGCATCGTTTTTCATTAGAACAATTATTATTGGTGAGCATTAAGGGGATGTGGATTTACGTATGATATTTTGTTTTATCATATCGCTTATTGCCTTATTTACTTCCTCATCGTATATTTTAGGATATTTGTATTGACGCTTGTAAATTGGGTCCTTATATTTTGTTAGAATTTTGTGTTTAATTGTACTAGTGAAAGTCAAATTGTCACCTTCATGGTACTGGATATCACGAAATTCATGTAATATCTTTTTAATTTTTTCGTTTTCTTCTGAGTTAAGGTGCTCCAGCCTAAAACCATTGTTTTCTATTAATTCGTTATTAATAGCGAAGTTAACTGGTCTGTCCTCTGTTGAGGGTGGATCAAGGCACTCTTGTGCGGTCATGTCCTCTTCGACCTCTTCGTCATTAAAACAAAAGTTAAATTCTCCTAAGGTTACGGATCCTTGTGCATAGTCTATTTTTGCTCGACATGCTCCAACGTATTCTCTCCCAATCAGAACATCATGCTCTGAGAAGTCGTGAATATAGAATTTTTGTTTACTCGGACAAATTTTGCTTGCTCCAAATCATATGCTTTGTTTTAATTCAATAACACCATTAATGGTGTGAACTTTTATTGTTTCGTTGTAAGCTGGAAAATTTGATTTTGATAATTTAAAGGATTTTGGGATGTACCTTGACTTAATTTCTGTTGGAACTCGTGGTGAGCTTTCTGATTGTCTTCCGAATTATTGTGCTGTTTATTTTGTACGTGATAACTTTGATTCGTATTGGAATAGCCACTTGAACCGGTGGTTGGGCTAGCATTTTGCTAATAATTTCCCACGATCGTTATTTTGGTTTCCCTGAACATTATTATTTGTAGGTTTTTCAGTAACGCTATTTTCATATAATCCCGCTCTTTGAGCTACTTGCTTTAGTTTTTGTGTCGACGTAATGTCGTATCTGGCTAACATCATGAAAAGCCTATCTGGTATTTTTTTTGTAATTACATCTTTGATTGTGTTATTCATAGCATTTGTATCAAGTGTCGTGTTGCTAGGTATATTTTCCAACGCTAACTTATTTAATATAACAAAAGATTTATTTTCGAGATCCTCGATAAACTTCCGGACGTTTCCTTGTTAATTCGTGTCGTATAAGCGTGGAAGGAGTTCTTAAAATGGTGTTTGCTCTGTACTCTTCAATCAATTCGTTTCTCAGCTCCTGTCAAGTGTCGGCTGCTGTCCTTTGTGAAATTCTCTGAGCATCTCCAGTGACTTGCAATTCGATGGCTCCGTATCAGATGCTGTGTTGTCTAACATCTCGGGTTTGATAAAGGTGTAGAATGTAATCGATCCTTTTAATGAAATCGTTGAGATTTTCCGTTGATCCGTCAAAGCTTGGCACCTGTCTTAGTTGTGAAAGGCCCAGGTTGAGGTGTTGTTCTGATAATTCCATGGTCATCTTAGTGTAACACTTTTTATACCCTTGCAGAGGGTATTATAATTATATCGTGAAATGTGTATCGCATAGAGAGAGACATCTCCGACCCCATAAAGTACATATATTCTTTATCAGCATCAACAGCCCAGTCGATATAGCCATGCCCGTCTTTCCGTCTGACTGTTTCTATACGAACTAGTCCCTCAGTTTTAAAGCTATTTTAATGAAACTTTGAAGAACTCCCTCCACGCAGCACATATGTGAAAACCAGCTGGATCGGACGACTATATCATATAGCTGCCATAGGAACGATCATTCGAAAATTAAGTTTTTGTA